GTCTTGTCTCTCTTAAGTATTGTGGTCAGTGCTGCTAAGAGTAAAATCCAGCAGGTCATGATTTTCTTTCAACTACAATTAGTCCATACCCAGAGATGAACACAGGTTCACCAAAACCATTTTGTATTGTATTTGTGGAATGAAAACCAATTATCTAAAGAGATATCCCAGCAGATTAGGGAGACCAGAGCTAAACTCTGCTATTTACTCCCAGAGAGAGAGTAGGCCAAGCACACACACAAAAAAAAAAGGTATTATCTAGTTCACTACTCAGGGAAAGTGCAGAAGAGGAAACATAACTGCTTTAAAGAAATTGCAATGGCAAAAAGATGAAAGAGGACAGGATTGATTTAATGCTTCCAGTCTGAATCCCAGATGAGGAATCAATTATCCTGCATCATTTAATCTCCTTATGCAGGTCATGACACAAACTAGAAATTAGAAGCATCGTGTCTAAAATGAAGAGCAGCTCTTAATGGTAGTCAGCATCAGCATCCAAGTTTTTAGAGGAAAACATAGCTAGGATTTGGGGAGCTCTGAGGAGTTGGCTCCACTGGATTTCTGCAATCAGACCTTAATATTTAAAAGTAGATTTGTCCTTGTTAACCTAATGAAGATGCAAAGCACTTATAAGAAAAGAAAAGGAAAAAAATGTAAAAAGAAAAAAATATTATCCTTTTGGACAAATTCAAGCCTACAAGGAACATGACCTTCATAAAATTTGCAAAAAAATTATTTACCTGCTATATTTCAAACTATCCTCAATCATAAACCAAGCTCCTACTTTTTTTTACTTGATTTAACAGAAATACCACATGTTCTCTGACCAGGTACAACCCCTAGCTAAACCAACCTTTTTTTGGAACAAATATTCCCAGGAGGAAGAAATGTGATGCAGTAGGAGCCTCCATCTGAATCCCCTCCAGGCTGGAAGAGATGATACCCAAGTTCTTGTCCCTATACAGCCTCCCACTGAGATTGTCAATTATATTCCTTGTGTGAAACTGTAGACATAATCAAGCACAGGCATGAAAACAGAAGCAGTATAGCTAAAGAAAGAACTTTATTTTGTCAGAGAGTTGTTTTTCCTATGAACCAGGAGAAAACTAGGACACAATGTAAGCATTGCGATTAACTTTCAAGAGAAGCTAAAATTATCCAGGATTATACAAATATAAGCAGTTTTGCTCTATTTCCTGTTACCAAAAACAATTCAGCATTGAAGACAAATTCAGGGGTTTAGGGTAGTGTGTTTTGGGCTGTGTTTTGGGCTTTTTTGCAAAAACTCTATGATGAGGCCAATGTATTTTCAAGAAGTAAACTCAATATACCATTCTGAAAACTCTTTTACAAACCTTGGAAGTGTGAATTTAAATTTTGCCTTAAATTCCATATAGGAACTGTCCAAAGTAGTTCTTATCAAAGTACAGAAACTAGCCTTATTACTTGCAGTCCCTACAACAGTGGCTGCCAGTGCTCTTTCTTCCAACTAACCAGACGCCAAAGGATCTAGGAAAGAAAATCTTTTTGCATTTCTCACATCCCTCTACATAATTCCACTCTCTGACATTTTCCCTAGCTTTGTGTCTTCCCAGAATGCCCCAAAGCAGTGAGCTTTCCCAGTCCTGATGGTACTCACCCACATCTGAAACTAGGATTTCTGGATCTAGGGATAGAGCACCATGTATCTAACAGCATAAAGGATGGGATATGGGGAACACCTATGACAAAGGCAATTTAAGGGCTGACCTGTACAACCTATTTTTTACACCCAAGTACTCAGGAAACCAACTATGTATCACTTTCATTCAAGATACTATGAAGAAGAAATGATGGCAGCAATTTGTTCAATATGTACTTAACACTACAATTTTATGACTCTCTAACATATCGTACTCACCATAATCCCAAAACACACTCTGTGCTTGGGATGTTCCTGGCAGCACAAGGACATGCTGTACAGAGGGATTTGGACAAGCTGGATCAATGGGCTGAGCCCAACTGAATGAGGTTCAACCCCCCAAGTGCTGGGTCACATCATCCCCAGGCAGTGCTACAGGCTGGGGCAGAGTGCCTGGAAAACTGTCCAGCAAAAAAGGACCTGGGAGTGCTGGCCAGCAGCTGAACATGAGCCAGTGTGTGCCAAGGTAGCCAAAAAGGCCACTGGCAGCCTGGCTTGGATCAGCAGTGGTGTGGCCAGTGGGACCAGGGTAGTGATTGTCCCCTGCACTCAGCCCTGGTGAGGCTGCAGCTCAAACCCTGCGTTCATTTTGGGCCTGTCACTAGAAGACACTGGAATGCAGTGCTGGAGTGCATCCAGAAAAGGGGATGAAGCTATTTAAGGGTCTGGAGCACAAGTCTGACGAGGAGAGACTGAGGGAGTTTGGAGTGTTTAGCCCAGGGAAAAGGAGGCTGAGGGAGGAAAACCCTTTCATTCCCTACAGCTGCCTGACAAGTGGTTGTAGTGAGGTGAGGGTAGGGCTTTTCTCCCAAGTAACAAGGCACAGGACAAAAGCAAACATCCTCAAGTTGTACCAGGGGATGTTTAGTTTGGATGTTAGGAAAAATTTCATCATGTACAGGGTTGTCAAGCATTAAGAGAGGTCACCCAGGAATGTGGTGGAGGAGCCACTGAAACACCTGCAGGTATTCAAAAGACATCTAGCTGGGGCACTCAGACACGATTGAGTGGTGGACTTGGCAGTGCTGGGTTAACAGTTGGATTGGATCATCTTAAGGGTCTTTTCCAACATAAATGATTCTATAATTATATGACATGTTACTGAAAAGATTTAAAACCAAATAAAGTGATTTATTCTGTTTGCCTTGTCAGTTTATCTCAAAAAAGAAAACTTTAAAAAACATTTCAGACTAAAGCACCATTCCTGAAGCTTTGCCAAAAGCTTTCTTGTGTCATTGCATTGCTTATCGAGAATTTTCAAATAAAATGTGCTCTGAAGGCTGCTTCTGTACCTACAGAAGGCAGCAACTCCCACTGTTAGGTACTGGCTATGACTGTGAATGACAGGCTGCAGTTCTAAAAAACATCACCATATATTTTCCAAAATAACCACAAACCAACAAGAAATGTTTGAAGAAGGCTATAGGATGCAGAAAAAAGTGCTCCATTTTGAACCCTCTCCACTTTTTCAAGTGCCATGTTTTACAGATATGCAGTGAGGGTTTGTTTCTTCAGGGGAAATACACTTCACACTTCACACACAAGACAGCCAAAATGTTCCTGAGTGCCACTGAAGTTCAAATATTCCTCCCCACTTCAGGGGACAGGCAGCTGCTTTCCTCTGGTGTCCTGCAGGTTGCTGGCTGGCTCCTGCTGGCACTGCAGCAGTTTGTTCTGTGCATTAACAAGCAAATGCAACTGAGGCTAAAACAGGCAGTGCTATTTCTACTTAAGAAAGCCTTCATCTTCACAGGAGGACTTTTAACAGTAGCAAATGATAATCAAGTTGAAGTGACTTCTCAAATCTGCTGCTGAATCTGCACTTTAAAAAAAACATTTTCAGTTCAATTTCAGAATTTAACGCAGCTTTCAAAAAAATTACTAAGAAAAAGCATACTCTCAGTTGGCATAAACCTATACACAACACCAAATAAGGCATCTTGGTCTTGCAGCTTTAACACTCTGCTGGCATTAACAAATAACTATATGTTCACTGAAAGTTATTTTTATTAAATGCTTTAAAAATCCAAGCAGAAGATTATGCCTATGTACATTTCACAGCAGTCACTGACTATAAACCCCTATTTAATACAAAAGAAACAATTGGCCCTTGCTGGAGTCACATATTGGCACCCCATTATTTAATCTTAGCTTTTAGTGTATGAGGTCAGTAGCATGGGCAAATTTTATTCCATGATTTTATGCTTTCATTCCCTAGCCAGATATTTTGAGAACACAGTAAACACTGCAAGCAATGATGTAAAACCCTCTCAGACCCCATGAAAGCCTCAGTTCTGCTCTTCCCAGTAGCACACACACAGAGTATTTCCCTTTGGTTGGTTGGGTACCTGTCAGTCCCCAGTCTAGGCAAGACTGGCTTAAAGATCAACTTCACATCCTGTTATCCTCCCTTGGCCTAGGCTGTAATTGTCTAGATTCCTCACACAGTCAACAAGAGAAGACTCTATTTGGTAAGGCAGCTATCTCAACACAAGATAAACACACATGCAATGACCTTCCCCCAGGTGCCCAGTGCTCCAGTGACTGCAGGGGAAATCAAGACAGCCAGCACAGAACATGCAACCAGCCTTGGGCAAACTGAAGTCAGGCAAGCTTGATTTTTTTGTAAGCACTGAGAAAAAAATATCAATATGCAGAACCATGACCAGTAAGAACAGCTAAATAGGCAGTGACTATTCATTATTTCTTCACAATAAAAGAATAAAGGCAGGAAATGAGCCTAAAACAGAAAGGAAACATTTTCCTACACTATTTTACTGAAACTCACAGCATTATAAGTAAAAGCTGTATTGGGTTCAAGAAAAGCAGATGGCATCACTAAGGAAAAAGACCTAAGGTTACTGAAAACAAAATACATGGTTGCAATTCCTATCACTTAGAACATCACCCACAAAATGTCAGATGGTGGAAGAAAACCAAAACAGAGCAGCCCAGCACTGCATACCCTCAGAACTTTTCTTTTCCCCCCAGTTGTCACTATTGACAGGCCTCTCTAAATGCCCCTCTGCAGCTGAGCTCAGTTCAGTGAAGCATCCTCTAATCCTCAGCTGCAACACTAGATGGCAGGGAAACATCTAACACACCTACAGCACCGAGAGCCCTGAATGCAGCTTGCAGTAGTTAAGGGTTAGTGCAATGCAGCAATTTCACTTTCATACGACTGGATTTGCTTTGCATCCTTACATAGCTTTGGGCAACAAATTTCAAGCACAATGCTGTGTTCATAGACCCATAGGTTAGTGATGTCAGGATAAATTCTGTCCCTGAGATACCTTGCCCTCTCATTTAAGAAACCATGGAGAATTGCAAAATATTTATTTGCCAAAAAGTTCTTTCAACTCCAATTTTGTGTTTGAAATCCTAATAATCTCCACCTCTGTAAAGACACAGCACCACAACACTTACCTCAACACCTCTTTTTTTTCTAAAAATTCACTTTTTTGTTTAAAATTCATATCACTTGTGTGCTACTTGTGAAAAATGCTGCAAAGGAGCAACGAAACATGTTCTGCAACTCAACACAGCTGCAAAGCAGACAAGCCCATGGAAACTTCTTCAGACCATACTGATCCTCCTGTCAGTACACTTTCTCTCTTCTGCAAAGAGGAAGAACTTCAGACTTGCAACATTCTGCTCAAGATCCCCCTCAAACTGTGAGAGAAAGGTATGAGCTTTTTTGATGAATGCCGTGTACATTGACCACCTCAGCACTGCAGCACAACTTGCTGCTTTCCAAATTACAGCTGTTTCCTAGAATGTTGCTGGCAGTAGAAGTGAAAGTCTGAAATTTAACTCCTGCTTTGTTCACAAAATTTAACGAAAAACGTAGACAATTTTTGGCATGGGTGGTAACACTCTCCCTTTAGAAGGGCAAAATCAGCACATGATAGTCATTCTTCTCATTCAGCTTTGTATCAGTTTCTCAGCCATATAGATGCTGATGCCTTCTACTACATCTTTTAAAAATCTGCAACAAAAAACCCCAAGGTCAGCAAACTGCTTTTCAAGCAGTGACACTCAAGAAGGAAGGTCAAGTAACTAAACCACAGACTACAAGTAATATGTAACGTAGCTGCTGAAAGTGACCTTGGCACACAAACAAATCACTGAACTGGATTTTGATTTTCATAATGAATGATAAATGGACAGTTTGTTTCATTTCTGAAAAATAATTTAATACAAAACTTCAAAAACGCTGATGTGCAAGTCTTTGCTGTATCAGAGATACATTTTCACACTTTAAAATACTTTAAAACATTTGTACATAATGAACAGAAATTCTCTTTCATATAAACAAAGTGTTTCTTTGCCAACAGCAATTGTCAATTCCGAAACAGAGAATTAAGATGACACGAGAACCAGACAGTCTAAGTCACTGCTATTTGTGTCAAAAAAAATTATGCCACTGTTTTCTTTCTACAGCTCATCATGCTTGTACGTGAATTCCCTTGCAGATATAAACCCATCACTGTCTTCATCCTCTTTATCAAATATGTCTTCAACCAAAGCATCATGCTGGGTGTCATTTACCACTGCTCCATGCTTTTCAAATTCTTTCTTCAAGTAAATTTTCACCTGTTAGACAAAAGGTGAGAATGAACATTTTCAGACTTATGAAAGAGTTGATTACTGCAGCATAACAGAGGGATGCTATGCTCAGGATGGTGGTATTAAATAACAGATACCTCCCTTGCTATGCCACTGCCAGAATAATACTTGTCTAACTGATTCTGCAGTCTCTTTGAATGCAGGGTCTTTAGTGATAGAAGTGACAGTAAAACTAGCAAAGCTGTTGCCATACCTTTATGGTATCTGACTAAAAAAATGAGTCAGGACAGCCTGTCTTCTGATGTCTATACAGTAAAGTAAAAATAGCTGGGCAGAAGTTATTAGCTACCAATTGGTCAGAGACAGCTTTTCCACATTCTAGCACTCTAGTAACCCAGTACACATAAACAGCCACCCCAGATATATACAGAAATCTGTCCACTAGCACTCTAGTAACCCAGTACACATAAACAGCCACCCCAGATCACACTCACAGCAATCTGTCCACAATCTCAGTGTTTGCTGCTTCAATGGGAAATACATTAAAAGATTTCTAGATGTCTCAAAATTTTTAAGGATGAAGACTCAAGGCAAGTTTCAAACAGACCACTGGAACACTTAGTTACATTAAGCTAGATAGTAATGGTAAGCAGTGTTTTCAACAACTTCAGATTGCTTTTAGTAAGTTTTTAAGGTTTAACGATGGAGATCCCAAATGTTCTGAATTGCAGAGCCTTCTACAAAAGTAACAGTACCAATATACTCATCTATCAAACAGATACCACTTGTATAAGAACCATGGGCCATGTTTCAGGTCTGTTTTAGTCACTTCAGTCTCTAGGATCTGTTAGGGTTATTGCTTACATTCCTAATATGCAGACATTACACATACTGACTGTCGGATACATACAAATGATTAATTAGCCTTCTGAGTCTGGTAAACTGGTACCAGACCCAAATCAAAAAGAACTCAGTGACTTATACTAGCTTCTCATGGATCACTTTTGCTGAAAAAGCAGAAGTTTGAAAATGAGAGGCAAACAGATGGTGAATAGTGCTGAATACATGTCCTTCATAGAGTGAATGCTATGAAGTAGGAAGAAGTCCTACAGCAGAAGAAGTCCTTTTATTAATAAATCAGCAATTAAATCCAAAAAGCCCTGAAGTCTGGTTGTATTTCTAAGATGCTTCACTTTATCCAAGTCTTCCACAAGCGTGCAGAACATGAGTCACATGTCTATCCTTAGCTTACCAAGGCTCCTTTTGAACCTCCAGCCCAGAATTGTCAATAGGATGCAAGGCTCAGAACAGTGCAGCACAGATGTGCATTCTTTTCCACTCTTCCATCCTGTTAGATTTGCTCACAAGAGAAGGATAACCCACTCACCTCTTGCTTGGATAGTTTCCAATCATCATTAAGATCCATCTCCTGGAATGACTCATGAGACCTTGGTCCATTTCTAATTTCCAGAAGGTCAATGTTGAAAATCAGTGTGCTCTCAGGTGGAATTTTTCCTGCCCAAAATGGAGAAAAGTTAAAACCAACTATATATTCAATGCCACACAAAAGCCACGTGTGTCAGAGCAATGTTCCAGCAAGCCTAGTCATTTCAAAGCATCCTGCAGTTGAACTAGGAAGGACAAGTATCTGTAACAGTGATGCCACAATCATTTCAGCCTGCAGCCTGGACTCCGAGCAGCCCTTACAGCGTAAATGCAACTTTAGATGCAACTGATTTTGTTGGAGACTAGTAGGTGCTAATGCAAGCTCTTATTCAGCAATTACCATCACAAGTTTATCAAATAATGCTCTTGAATATTTTTTTCTGTCATGGCCAGAGCCAGATAAACAGTAAAGGGGACTGTACAATCAGACAGGCTACAGCCAAGACTAATGTACATGGCAGCAGGAAGGGAGAATTTAGTCCTCTGGATGTCCCATCAGTCCCTAAACTCCTCTCTACTGCCAGCTGATACCTTGTATCTGCTGTTCTGCCATGGAAAAACTCTTTTGCAGAGAAAGAAGGCCAGAGACAATGCTGGTCTCCCACAACAGTCTCTGGACTCAGGGCACAAAACACCGAGCTGTTTCCAAACACAATCAGAAACCGAGTACCCAAACCTGATCACAAGGCCTGTGTTATCACAGCATCATTTTTGATGTAGGTGAACAGACTGGTAACTTCCTAAGAGTGCCACAGAGCACTCCCCCATGCCACCACACCTCAAGGATATCAGTTTATCAGGCACTGGCTTTGACAGAGAGGTGATACGCCCTCAAACACCTTTTAGCACATCACTTGGCTCCTTTATACAGTGTTATCACAACATCATTTTTGATGTAGGTGAACAGACTGGTAACTTCCTAAGAGTGCCACAGAGCACTCCCCCATACCACCACACCTCAAGGATATCAGTTTATCAGGCACTGGCTTTGACAGAGAAGTGATACGCCCTCAAACACCTTTTAAAAGCACATCACTTGGCTCCTTTATACAAAGACAGGTTGAATAGGACCAAATATACCCCTACACTGGACGGCAGTACCCCAAAAAATAATTCTGTGCCTTGAGAAGACAGGGGAAAATAATCCACATGTAGCACTTTGGAACTATGGTGTTAATTTAACTGCAACAACAAACAGGTTTGTAGATTTCTGGGATGAATAAAAGTGCAGAATCTTCTGGAAATACAGGGCACAGTGCCCTGTTTAGGGTTTGGAAAATAGGTAATTTTTTTGAGTGTTACAGAAAAAGGCATCTGACTCAAATGATGAGTCAGACAGCAACCAAGGTGGGAGGCTAGTGAAATTATGTGCATTTGAATGAAAGTATGAAGAAAATTAAACAATTCCATCTTCAAGGGCATCACTTGAAAACAGCAACATAATTAAGCTCAAATACTTCAAAGTCTTCCTAAAGCAAGTAATTTCTTACAGCAGTTAGCAGTGTTTAGCTGTTTAACCTTCTTTCAGTAAACACAGAGGTGAAGCTTGCAAGTCTTTGAAGAACAACTACAGTGCTTTACATATTAATCAAACAATTAGACCTGTGATAACTACATGAGCACTGCAGCACTTCACATATTTTTGTGGAAAAATTACAGCTGAGCTCTGCATAAAGAGGACCACAAAGTTCCTGAAACATGATTACTTCTAATACTGTATCTTAAACTGTAAACCAGGGCTTCTACAAAAAAATGTGTTGAGCGGGTACATTTAATAAGGGAGAGTATGAAGTGTGCTGTAGGTGTGAATACTACCTGGCAGGAGGTAATATGGACTCCTAAGCCCATGTGCAGCCCTACTTGCCAGAAGGCACAGACATGCAAACAGTCCTCATTCCCAAAACAGTCTCATAGAGAGAACATCAGCAGGATGGCCTGTGTGTTTCTAGACATTTATCCTTTCTGCTTTGGAACCTTCCACTACTGTAGGTCGTTTGTTGCAACTCTTGTCATCACATAAATACTCGTAACAATTGCTCAAAAAAAAGTTAACTAAAACAATTCCCACAAAGCAGTAGAACCACTCAAGCTGTCACTCATTTAACTGCACATTCCAAATCAGGCCCTCCTGTTAAAGGAATCTGGAAATATGTGAAAGGAAAACCCTAAACACCCTCAGTAGTAAACAGGTTGAGATGTTTATATCTGTCTGCACTGCAGGCAGTGCATTTTCAGTAGGTGACAACGTGACTGCCCATGCACATCTTACTGAGGATAATAGGGACCACTGCCCAAAATGAAAACAGCTGCAAGAGGAAAATAATTAATGTCCCTATTTGGAGAAATAAATAGCACTTCTTGCTGTATCATCGAAGAACTGGTTGGGCAGCAGTACAGGGAGTTTCTTAGGGGTCTAAAAGAAACCTGAAAGCAAGAATGAGTTTTGCACATGGCACATTCACGAAGCATTACCACAAAAACAGATCCAACAGCCAAAAAGCCAACTGTTACCTAAGCAACCACCTCCACTTGACTGTAAAAGAAGGGAGGGGAAAAAACAAACTAAAAAACAAAAAGAAAAAGCAGGGCACTGTTGACCACAGTACTAACAGAAAAGACACTTAGAACATACTAGATGGTAGGTGGTAGCACAGCAAGTACCATCAGTTTCTGGGGTTTTTTTCCTGCATTCACCACACAGCCACTTAATGGATATTACTGCAGAAAAGAAATTTATGAGAAAGAGCACTTGACTCCCTCCATTCTTCTTCTTTAACGGAATCAACCTGGAAAGCTTGAAAGCCTGCTAACTTCTTAGGCCAAGAATAACAGAAAAACACAGAGTTTAGAAACAATTAGAGCAAGGGGAGTGCTTCACATGTTTTACCTTTCCCTTCTTTTCCATAAGCAAGGGCTGGTGGAATAGTCAGTTTCCGTTTCTCTCCCACACACATGTCCTTCAACCCTCTGTCCCAGCCTTTGAGAGCTTCCCTTATGCCAAGTGTAAACCACATAGGCTGACCATTGTTGTGCTTGTGACTGGAAAAGAAAGGAATAAAACACTTCGTATTTAAACGTCAAGCTCCACAAAGGGCCGATGGAATATGGTCATTATGTAGATACACAGTTTAAAACACAGCACCACTCAGCGCCTTGACACCTCTTCAATGAAAGACCTACACTTTCAAAGCCTTTAAAACTCATGCTTTGCATGACAAGGTTCTTTGGGAAGTGGAAAGAAATAAAACAATATTTACTTTGTGTGTGTATGACAACACTAACCAACCCAGATCACCTCTGACCACCTAGTTCCACTTGGAAACTGATCAGACTAGAAAAGGCATTTTCTTAAAAATCTACAGTCAAGGCCATTGTAAATTGCAAATCACAGACCAGCATGGTTATCACAGCAATATACATTTTAACATGCTCAGAAGCATCAGCCTCATCGCTTTCAAAAGAAGCCATTTGGGAGGAAAAAAACCAAAACAACAAAGCAACTACATAACAGTCTAGAAAAAAACAGAAACAACTGCATGCAAAACATTTAACTTTAGATTTGGGAGACAAGATCCTTTTCTGATTTAACCAGATGGTACAACCCGGACTACTTTCACTCCACTAACAGACAAGGAATTTGAAAGCTCTATTTACTACTCATGCAGGAGAGGTGTTTAGGAAGAAAACAGAACACTTACAGAAGTTAGTCAGCAGCAAAAACTTTAGTGTGTCACTAGAAGTCCTTTTAAAGAGGCAGGTTAACTACAAGAGAAAATTAGTGAGATTTTAGTTAAATCGTCTGCAAGAGCATAAACATGCAAAAGTGGTTGTTTTTTTTTTAAATTTATTTCATACACAAAAGTAGCCTTCAGGCAGCCAGCAGAGACTGTCTCCCACTATTAACACTTGGTTGATGTTTTACAGGACATCCAGCATTAGCAAGTCGTTGCAGGCTCTTAGCAGATGCCCTCGAATTTCTGGCTCTTCCTCCTCTTTGCATTTCTGTGGCTCTGGTATGTTGACTTGTCTGGTCGGGGGCAGGTAAAGAATAATGAAAAGCTGTATTGTGCTGCCGCTGGGGGAAGGACACATGTAACTTTTTTTTTTTTTAACTAATAGTTTGCTTTAGAAACCAAACAGAAATTTATGCATAGCATAAGACCTATTAAACCGCTGAGATCAAATACCAAAACCTGCACCTAAATCACAGAATCACAGAATGGTTTGGATTGGAAGGGACCTCAAAGACCATCCAGTTCCAGCCCCTGTGCCATGGGCCGGGACACCTTCACCTAGACCGGGGTCTCAGAGCCCCATCCAAGCCTTGAACACCTCCAGGAATGGGCTGTCAGCAACTTCCCTGGGCAGCCTGTTCCAGTGCCTCGCCACCCTCAGAGTAAAATATTTCCTTCTAATAACCCGATCTAAACCTGCTCTAAGTTTGAAGCCATCCCCCCTTGTTCTGTCACTACATGCCCTTGCAAAAAGTCTCTCTCCATCTTTCTTCAGGTAGTGGAAAGCCACAATCAGGTCACCTCAAAGCCTTCTCTTTTCCAGGCTGAACAGTGCCAGTTCTCTCAGTCTTTCCACACAGGAGAGGTGCTCCATGTGTAACATCCCCATCTTTTAAGAAATGCTACGTGGCTCTACTTCCTACAGACTGACCAGGAAACAAATGCTAAGCAAGATTTATTTTATAACCTTGGGAAAGGAGACTGGCCTTCCTGTTGGTGTTCATCTTGTACAGCATTGTGAGACACTGCTTCACAGTGAGGAGAAAAGCTCCAGGGTGACCTAATTGTTCCTTGCCAGTGCCTCAAGGGAGCCTACAAAAATGATGGAGAAAGACAATTTAAAAGGGCGTGTGGTGACAGGACAAGGGGTGATGGCTTTAAACTGAGAGTAGGCTCAGATTAGATACCAGAAAGAAGTTCTTTACTCTGAGCGTGGTGAGCCACTGGAACAGGCTGCCCAGGGAAGCTGCTGACAAGCCACTCCTGGAGGTGTTCAAAGCCAGGCTGGATGGGGCTCAGAGCAACCTGGGCAGCGTTCACAGGCGCGTCGGGTGGGGCTGCTCTGAGCAGCGTGATGCATTCTATGACAGATATATATATACACATGTTTTTATATATATATATATGTATATATGTATATATGTGTATGTATATGTATATATGTATGTATATATATATGCATGTATATATATTTACAGATATATATACACACACGTGTATATATATATACACATATATAAACACACACACACACATATATATATATATATATGTGTGTACATTTTCCCACTCAAGCTCAGCCAGCATGTCGCTCGGAGAAGACGCGCCGCTCACTTACGTCGAGTGAAACATGGAGCCGTCGCTCTCCAAGTAGCCCTCGTAGTGGACCAGCATCATGTCCCCCCACTTGGTCCTCCTGTGGCAGAGGAAAGGCTTGTGCAGCACCTCCACCTTCACGTCGGGCGCGGGGGGGATCAGCGCGGCGCCCGCGCAGCGCAGCGCGGCGCACAGCAGGGCGGAGCAGAGCAGCAGCAGCCCCGCCGCCATCGCCGGCCGGCCCGTCCGACGTGGCAGCGGCGCGCACCGCCGCCAGCCCCGGCTCCCGACGGCCCGGCACGGGCGCCGCGCTCGCTGATTGGCTCCGCGCAGGGTGAGCTCAGGAAGAGCAGTCGCCCATTGGGGCGCGGCCCTGTCCGTCTCTCAGCCCACCCAATCGGCAGGCCCGAACAGCCGAGGGGGGGTGGGCGGACCGGGCGCTCCGGGAGCGCTGGCGAACGGGGCAGCCCCGCGGAGCGCGCGCACAATAGAGCCGGCCGCTGCCGGCCGCTGATTGGGCGGCGGCGGCAGCGAGGGCGCGTTCCGATTGGCCGCGAGAGGCCACCTGCTCTGGGCATTCCGCGCCTGCCCCCTCCGCCCGCCTCTCACTCCCGCCTGTCACGCGAGCCGCGATTCACAGCGCGGGTTGCGCTGACGTAGCGCCGCGGGGCCGTGCCGTGGCTGCGCGGCTGCGGCGCTCCCTGCGGAGCGCGGGCGGCGGCGGGCGGCGTGACCCCGCCGGGGGCCGGCCGCGCTGCATGGGGCCGGGGGCCGGCCGGCATGGAGGGGGTCCTGTACAAGTGGACCAACTACCTGAGCGGTGAGTTCCTGCCAGTGCTCAGCCTTTGCGGGACGGGCGCCGTCATCTCCTCATAGATGAATTTACACAAGTACATACATGTATGTGCATTCACTGCGCTTGCTGGGTGCGGGTTAGCGCTGCCCCTTGACGCCGGCAAGCAGGGGAGCAGCCCCGGCGCTGCCTCATCGTCAGTGCCCGGCGTTTATCCCGGTGCCCGTGCCCGTCCGTGGGTTGGGGTTTGGGTGGTTTGGATGCTCTGGGTCGCAGCTCCAGCAGCGAACTTCCCCGTTCTCCGCACACCCCCGCGGAACTTTTACCGAGGATCGGGGCATTCCCAGAGCTGGGAGAAAAACGTGTTGCCATTCAGTCTCACTTGGGGGATTCCGATGAGAAGGCATGCAAAAAACCACAAAGGCAAGAAAAAAGGCGGAGGGAGGTTGTCCGGCTAGCTCTAGGCCCAAATTTTAATTTTTCGAGTGTTCCGGTGGCACGGAAGGCGTGATTGTCGTGGCAGGTTGGAAGCAGCCGTGTGAGGCAGGGTTTGCTCGGCAGAGGTTAAAGGTGGCGGGGTCAGAAGCCCCCGGTGTTAGGGTGGGATGGATGTTCCTTCCAGCCTTCCAGCCAGGGGGGGCAGAGCCCTGTGGTTTGCGGCTGTGGATGGGGTCTTGCCAGGTGCAAACCCCTCTGTGGTTTGTGGGAACAGTTTGGAAACTTGAAGGTCAGGGAGAAGTAGCCACGAGCACCTTGTCGTTGCCAGGTGCGAGTGTTGCTCAGCAGTGTGTGCGTGCAAGGGCTGCCGCCCTGCCCGAGTCTTCCCGAGAGGCTGGAACAGCTGCAGCACTCCGGTTAGCTGGGAAAGTGTAGGAAATCAGAATTAAACAAAGAAAAAGCTGAAGCACAAGAGTGAATTCATGTCGGGGGGCAGCAGCATCACGAGGCTGGATTTATTGTTGTGCTAGAAGATTGCTGTGACTTTTCCCCTTTAGGCAATAGGTGTTCTGAGATGACAATCAAAATTTGTCCGGTCTCAGTGAACAGACATGGATTTTTTTCTTTTATTGTTAATTATTTGTGAATGCTCTTGAATTACGAAGTGGCAGTAGGAGCAGCCATGCTTGCCTTTTTCTTGTGAATTGCAGAACTGTGGTAGTGATGCTAGTCCTTTCCCCACATTAACACCGCATATGGTTCAGCTGATCGAAAGTTTTACATGTTTTTCTTTGCATTGCTGAGATGCTGGGGTGTGTCTGGAGCCCTCGTGCTTGGTTTCGTGCCATGAGACCCAGGAATGTGTGTCTGTGGGAAACAATGCATGTTGTAGATAGCTGACTGGCATTTGACATTTTTAGTGCCTGAGTGTGCCTGTGGTAGAATCAGCTGGGCGTTTGTTTTGATGGTAAGATGAAGACTAATAAGAAGTATTCTGTTTTCATCAAAATTAAGTTTTCTTTTGCTAGTCACACTGATAAGCACTTCCAGTCGAATGGCCCTTCATGAAGATGGATGATACTTTGCAAATCTCAGTCACGTGGATGCAGACTGAAGGAAACTTTTCCTTGCATATGTAGGATTTGTACTGGCTGAAAACTAGGACAGGTTTTGCTGTCAGCACAGAGAAAATCTGTGATGGGAGATTGAAGCATCCTTCTGATTTCTTGGTTGCAACTTGACTCTTCTAGTGAGTGTCGTGGTCAGGGTCACTCTATGCCTTTTGTTAGGTTGTAGAAGGCCCATGGTGTGTTTGAGAACAGTAAATTTGCTGTTCTGCAGGCTGTCTGTACATACTAGTGCTTTCTTTTGCCGTGAAATGAAGACTTCCTGCCCTGAAGCCATTAAGTTATAAATTAAAAAAAAAAACCCAAAAAAAAAAAAAAACCCAGAGAAAAAAAAGAAAAAGAAAAAAACTCATTCTGGAATGTGGCAATCTTTGTAGCAATAACAAAGAGCTGGAGAGTGAGAGACAGGAAAACCTCCTTTCAGTGATTAAGGAAAGTAAGAAGGTTCAACAGGTCATCCAGAACAGCATTTCTGCCAGTATTCTGCCCCCAGTATGCTTTTCCTGTTGCTCAAGGTTGATGAATCAGGCACAGTACAGTGTAAACGATGCATGCAAAAAGTGGGGAGATTGTGTGTCATCCCGCTGTGTTGGTGTGTGCCTGTGCTAATAACACAGTGCTGATGTACCTCAGAATGAGGCGGATCCCTCACAGTCAGAGAAGAGATAGAACACTCAAAAAAGAACAAGCATAAAACTGTAGAAAAGAACTGCTTTTCCTTCTTGCTGTGGGAGAGGAGCTGGAGCGAGTTTGTTGGTAATTGAGTCTTTTCTGGGAATTTTGATTTCGTAATGTCTTATGTCATTGCCATCATGAGAGGTCAAGTCCACATCAACCCATTTCCTCCCAGCTCTGGGGCCCAGAGCTAGATTTGTGTTGCAAATTACATAGTTATTGAGAGGAGAAACGTTTCAGACATAGGAAACAAGTTTTGTTTTCTTTGGGTAAAGGGCAAAGAAAGCTCACCATGATTGCCACCAATTGAAAGACAGATCAGTTTGCCTTACTGCTTAAACAAGTTATCTTGTTTGTAATAAATACACTTGTTTGCTTTATATAGATTAGAATAGATTAAATCAGTATTACCTGGTTTCTGCTTGGAGGTAGGGTTTTTCCTGTGCTGTTGATCCTGCACTCACATTGTGGTTTCTCTATGCAGGGTTTCCAGTGCTAACTTGGAAACTCTTGAGATTAGAAAACTGAGATTTTTAGAGTTTTTCTGTCCCCTAATGCAATGGCCACCAGATAGTGATTTCTCAGTGTGTTACTTTTGTTTAAGTTCAAGTGAAATGTGTCATCTTTGGATCAGATATACATTCACGAAGTTCTAGCCTATGAAAATCTGTTTGGATCTTGTGTTTGCAGTGTGTGTCTTTTGATTGCTTGTGTCTATGCTTCCCCCACTAAATTGGTTAAAATCTTAAGAGAGCAGGGAACTTTGCAAGCAGAATTATCTCATATAAAGTGAGACAGCACTTTTTCTCTTGCACAGATAAATGTAATCTGCAAACTTCAGATTATTAATCCTCAAAACCCAGAGCAGGGTGACTTAAACCATGCAGGCATGTAAGTTGGCCTCAGCTGAGCTTATAGTCAAAGCATGTAACATGATCTTAAAAAATTCCTAGATTTCATCCTTTGCCAAAAATCTCTATCTGATGTTGGCTTTGCTTGGTGGGGGCTGGGGATGGGTGTGTAACTATTGTTTCAGTACCTCTTACTGTAGTAAGCAGTTGGAATGATAAAAGTGTTACTGTGTGCCCTCCCTGTGGCTCCTTGGTGTGTTGCCCTGCAGTCCTGGCTGAGCACAAACCATTGTGGTGTGGGCAGCATCAAGGGCAGATCCTGGCTGCAGTGTCATAGCGTGACTGATCTCCAGCTGGGGAATGCTGCTGGCAGGATAGAGGAAGGACAGAGTGGAGCTGAGCTGCACGTGGAGGCTGCTCTTGGCTGCTTGGAAACTGCCTCCCATGGGACTCTGACTGAACTTAACCTGCATGTTCTTTGTTGAGCATAACTTCTGATTAATAAAATAAATTGATTTAGTCTTTGGAGTTTGCCTTGTGAAAGGCATCGATGATTTTTTTTCTTATCAGGTTTATAGAATGAGTAAGCTATTGCTGGGAGATAGCATGGAGTTGGGGAATACCTCCCTTCAGTGGTGTGTGTGAACACTTGGTACTTTTAAGTTGATTTTTTTCTTTCTGCTGAAATTCAGTTCAGTTCAGATCTTCAGTGTAGGCACACACTCTACTTGGAGTTGCTGGCCACAGGCAGGATTGCTGCTAACTCTGGAAGAGATGGTGTGGATCAGTTCTTGGCTATGGGGTTCGTCTTTACATGAAAATGATGACTGATTCCACTGGCTTGCCTGGTGTTTGTTAGATGTTCTGTAAAATGGCTTTGATCACTTTCCTTTGCAAAGCCGAGTCCCTGATATTTAAATATTCACTTTCTTATTTGTGCTGAGTAATTCTAACCCTAAGTAATTAATCTTCCTCAAGGCATGACAGACTCGCCTTCATGCCATCACCAGTGATGCTGCATCATGCCACTTCAGTTGGTCCTCCCCATCTACGTGTATGTAATCATCCCCTCTCAGTTTATTGTTGTACTTTGGATTCTTTTCAATTTATCTCAAGATAAACCAAGAGCCAACACCAAGCAGTATATTTCAGCTTTCACATAAAACTTTAAATTGCTCTTGTTTCTAATGATTCAGAGTTCCTTAATAAACTTGGGGGTGGAGCTCAAGAAAATGAGAAAAAGCATTAGTTCTTGTGTCTTGGATCTGGATGCACATGATATTGCTTAGAGCAAGTCTTTGTTTTGGGAGTTTAAGCAATCTGACCTTTTGGAATGAGAGACACATATCCTTCCAGCTGATATCAAGCTCTAGAAATAAGCTCCTCTCTTTCCAGACATGGAGGAATTAATCA